ATGAAGTACATAAAATGTCCAACGGATGCATGCTCTTTAAAATTTCTTTAATTTAAGAAAATGGTTAGAAATGGAAGGAGAATTACGTGATCGAAAGATACTTTTGGTGTAATCCTTTAACACTTTCTTCATCTTATCTTCAATCACATTATTACAACGAACGTACGAAAATCTTAACGCAAGAATGACGTACGATGTTTGTAAAAGTAAACCTAACCTTAACTTGAAAGGTGAATATAACATTACTCCCTCCGGTTCATAATAAGTGACCAGTTTACTTTTTCATTTTGGTTCAAAATAAGTGTCCAGTTATGTAATCAAGAAAAAATTCAATTTGTTTTTACTCTTTTACCCTTATGTGCATATCCCTAAAAAGTTTTCTCAGTCCTCACTATAACTATGTGACCAATATTTAATAAGGATAGTTTAGTCATACTAGGTATTTTTGTATAGGATTTAGCATTTTCTTAATGGGCGTGCTAAAAGGAAACTGATCACTTATTATGAACCGGAGGGAGTAGTTATCTAGATTCTAAAAGAGTAGTAGTTCCCCATGTGCATCTTCTCTTCTGTTTAGGGAAAGTGATGTTTGAGGTCAATAGGACCACTATAATTTATAAAGCAGATGACCACAATGTTCCCTCCATCTGCTTATAAGAGTTGGCCGGTGAAAATTTATCAGAAGTGAATAAATGCATAATATGTGTTTGAAAATAAATTTATTTTTATTAACTATGATTATTAATTGTATTTTCACCTTATTAATTCACTTAATCTTGATAAATTGCTATCATTTTGTGTTAATACTCAATGCTAGAGGTGGAGTTAGGATTTGAAGTTTATGGGTTGTGAATTCGTCACTGAAGTCATATTTTTTTTAGTTACTGGGTTCGCAAATGTTATACATATTTTATGGATTTTTAATTCAAATATAAAGTTTACGCAAAAGCTATTAAGTTCGTTCAAACCCGCTGCTAATACTCTCACTTCGCCTATGCTTGATGTGAATAAGTTTTTACCGTAGTTGACCTAACTCAACAACTACCTTTTGCTTTAATTACAAACTGATTGACAGTACACGATCCACAACCCCCTCACTGACATAGCTTCTGCATCACTTTTACGTAGGATCAATCCTTGTCATTTTTTTCCATTTTAGGATTAGGGAAAAAGACAAGTGCAAGAGGCCTTAAAAGATTTATTTACAATGTTATGCTCGAGTCCTTTTTTTTTAATTTTGCCTTAGTTGCCTTAGTTGCATGTTCGTCATGAGGAGCTTGTTCTTTTGAGAATAGCTTAGTTGCAAATTTTGTACGGCGATAAATCAGACACAAAGAAAAATAAATTAAAATATACATAAAAAATATGGTTTAGCCAATTGGCATACATATGAAAAGACTAATACAAAAGAAAATAAAAAATTATTGAGAGAATAATCTCCCTCGAAACAGCACTCTTTGAAAAACTACGTACATTGTGGATATTGTAGTTGTTGTTGGTCTTGTTGTGAGAAGAAAACGTCAGTTTATAGAAGTACAAAACTTCTCTTCCAAGAAAGATAAGGCATATGAAGGAGATTTATTTTCATTTCTCAAGAAAGAGAATCTTAATAGATTAGAAATTCAGGACAAAATCCTAACACATATATCACATATTCCCATGATAATTATGTCAACCTTAAAAAAGGCAAATTATAATTGAAGGTATTTTAGTCAAAACTCTTCCTACTTTTTATGAGTAAATGATCCTTAATCCATATACCCAAGCCTAAAACATCAATTATTTTGGACGGGTGAAAATATAGGTTTTCTAAAATCCGAACATAATAATTGACAACTTTATTAGGGAGTGTCAAAATCTCAAGCAGGACTTGATGTGCAACGGGACAGAATTCGCCACAGAATTTGGACCACCTATGTATAAGCTCGACACATGGCTATCGAAATGCAACCCAAATTGGCGCATTCCCATCAATTTGGAAAGCTAAACATTATTCGATTTCTTGCTCTCTTTCTACATCTCTCAGTTTCCTTTTTTGTCAAAGCTCCATCAAGTAAGATTAATATTATTTCATATGCTGAATGCTGAATGCTGATTAGTTTCTCAAAAATGATGCGTGCTCTCCATAATATGCGAAATAAGCTATGAGTTTGACTAATATATATTGAGAGTCTAAAAAAAAGACAATTATGGATAACATATACCCCCAATATTTTAAATGAGGACATATGGGGTATTTAATAAATAATTTAAGTTTAAAGAAAAAAAAGAACTAAATAAACAAAACAGAAGGAAACAAAAAGGAAGAAAAAGTCAAAAAAAGCTAACAAATGAAACAAAAAAAAATGAAAGAAAGAGCTAATGGGCCAAATAACGTGAAAGGCTTCGGGCTGAGTCAAAGCAAAAGAATAAAGGGCTGAAGTCCCTTTCTCTGGCCAAATCAAAAAGAAAGAAAGGGAAAAGGGGTTTGCTGCGTAAAAACCAAACCAGAAGCAAAAAGGGAGTAAAAATAGCACGGTCTAGCCAGTTTTCGGACTGGTCATTCAAAAATAGCCAGCGTTTACTAAGTCAATAAAAAATAGCCACTATTTTGCTGCAACAGAGACCGGTCCAGCATAATATACTGGAGTTCAGTACACCTGTGTATGAACTTCCAGCATAATATGCTGGAACTCCAACACACAGAAAGTTCCAGTATAGTATACTGGAGATTCAAGCACTTGTGTATGAATTTCCAGCATATTATACTGGACCGGTATACTTTGCTGGAACTCCAGTATATTATGCTGGAGTTCTAGTGTACTTATGCTGGAACTCCATCATATTATGCTGAAGTTCCAGCATACTTATCCCGGAACTCCAATATAATATGCTGGAGTTCAAGTATACTTATGCTGGAACTCCAGCATAATATACTAGCGTACTTTCCGGGTTTTGAATAGTGTTTTCGCTCAGATTTATTTTTATATGAAAAGTGGCTAAATTTCGATTATTTTTGAAACTGGGCTATTTTTGAACGACCACTTGTAAATCTGGCTATTTTTAAATTTCTCACAAAAAGGGATTTTGACGGGTCAAGGGTTAAGGCAAAAATAGAAAATAGAGAAGCTGAGTTGGGGGAAAAAGCTTGGTGCCGCAGAAGAAGCCACTTCCAGCCATTATTTGTTCAAATCGTAAGGTACTGTATTCCACAAATTTGCGAATATATTTTAATGGTTAGAGTTAAATAAGGAGATTGGCAAAAGTGAGTGAAATAAGGAAAGATAGGTATAATTTTTGTTAATCTTTAGCAATCTGTTGAGAAATCTTAAGCACTAATTGTATCTTACGGGTATTACTTGAGCTTCTTCTTCTGGTAGATTTTAATTTCGTTTCCAATGATCGAAAGGTTCTATATATTAATAGAAATTACACTAGTTCATTCACGTAATTGAGAATTTTCCTCCTGAAGAATCCATAGAACTTTATGAAATTGGGTTAATAAATCATATGAATAGGTTGGAGTTGGTAGATTAGTAATTACTCATCACGTGGGTAAATATAATTCGATGAATTAGGAGTCAAATATGAAACCTCGAGGGTTGGACATTCTAAATTAGATATGAATTAGCCTAAACATGGAAATTAACATGAGATCGATATTATGTAATTATAGATTGATTGGAGGAAGTTGTACGAATTACTCGAGGTGAAGCATTTGGTATTTCGGCACGAGTCTGTGAGTAGTAATCTTACCGCAATTTGTGTTTTCATAACTTGCATGATTTATACATAATTTTTAATATGAATATATTACCGATTATTTTGAGTTGCATGTGGGACAAGTCTTTTACTCGATATATACCGAAATAGTTATTTGAGATGATTACCGTTGTTTGAAATATCTTCGTTGTCACTAGATCTGCTTTACCGTTACTTGAATTTACTGTTATCGAAATGAAATTATATGATTTGAAAAGAACTGAAATATCCTATATTGTTTTAAAATATTTTCTACGAGTATATACGGATTACAGAGACAAGTATAAATGGGAGTAGACATTGATGGATCCCGTAGCTAACGGTGGGTTCGTTAAACCTGGTGCACCTTGAAATTACCGATTACCGTTACACCCCTCGCTAGTGGAAAGGTAGAACTAGCATGTCGTTACTGATTTTCCTCGAGTAGGGACTACCGTTATTTTTGACTCATTGCGAAGAAGTCCACAGTCATACCGATTACATGATTCGTTCATTAAAACCTCCCAATTATGAATATTGATACTATAAAGTGGTTACCGAACTTATTACTGAATTGTTAATTGTATTATACTACAAGAAAAACATGATGAGACTGAAAATTAATTATTGTTTCTGAAAGGGCATTCTTATGATATTTTCTGTTTAATATACTAGCATGTTTCTAACTTGTCCCCAATAAAAATGGTTGTCGTTAAGTGTTATTACTCACTGAGCTAGCAACTCACTCCCCTCTAATTTTTTTAACAGAGATAGCAATTGACGCATGCAAGGATTTCATTAATTAGAGGGCACAAGTTGATAGTTCTCAGTGAGCCTCGTACTTGTTCGCGTGGGCAGAGATTTTATTTATTGTTATGGTATTTTTTTTTGAACTCTTAGAGTCGCTCCATAGTCATCCTTTTGGTGTCGTGAGTATTCATTTGTTGATATGGACTAGTTACTAGTATTATACTTTCTTTTCGTATTTTTAGAGTTGGTTTTGGTTTTATTAAGTTGAGGATGTTGGTAATAATGATGGAAGCCCGTTTGTGGTTAGTTGATGAAGATTGTGACTAATTTAGGTGAATATTGGTTGGTTGTTACTTGTTTTTGAGACAGGAAACTTTTTGGATAGCCCAAAAACAGTGGAAAATCTATTCGATTTTCTGTAAAATATCGATGAGGCTTACTTGGGGGCACTTACTCCTAAGTGCCAGTCATGATCCTAAATTGGGTCGTGACAAAGTTGGTATCAGAGCTTGGGCTTTAAGTCCCGAGTAATGGAGCAATGTTTAGTAGAGTCTTGTTCATGGGTATGTAGGCACCTATACTTATGATCTTGAGGCTACTGAACATCTAGGAATGTTTTCCCTTCTTTCATTCTTTGATCGTGCGTTGAGATTGATTTTGGAGTATTTCTTTTGCAGATGGCCAGGACACGCACACCCTCATCTTCTGGATGTGGTACTACCCGGGGTGGCGGTCAAGTTGGGGTTCATCAAACTAGAAGACAGACTGCTCCTCAGCCTGAAGTTGGGAAGATGGGTCAACCCCAAGCTGCTATACTAGATCAAGTGCAAGGGCAGGGAGTTCAGGACGCTCTACCACTAGAGCCAACTGTTGTACCTACTGTTACCTTACCTGCAGACACAGTAGCAAGGTTATTGAATGTGTTAGAGGCATTGGTGCCTACCGAGGGTGGAAGTTCAGATCCTCAGGATACTTTACAGACACAAGCACCTGCACTGACTCAGACTTTCGGGAATAAGGAAGTATCCTTACAAGAGTTCCAGAAATTGAAATCACCAAAATTCACAGGTTGTGATAATTCAGCAGATCCTCAAAGTTTCTTGGATGGGACAGTCAAGGCATTACGTGCTCTAGGATGTTCTAGTGAGAGAGTCGTGGAGCTCGCAGCATACAAACTAGAGGATATGGCCAACACATGGTATGAAACTGTATTGCTAGGAAGCCCAGCAGGAGCAGCACCACTGACATGGGACAAATTCACTAAGTTGTTCATGAATCATTTTCTTCCAAACAGCCTGGTGCAAAAATATGCTAGAGACTTTGAGAGATTGGTTCAGACTCCAGATATGGATGTGTCAACATATAATACCAAGTTTTGTAAGCTGGCTAGATATGCTCCTTACTTAGTGCCTACCGAAGAAGCTCTAGCTCAAAGGTTTGTGGATGGATTGGTTGGTCGTCTATACACTGCAGTAGCCCCACAGATGAAGACTTTATCCTATTCTGATGCAGTCTACCTTGCTAGAAAGATTGAAATCAAGGGACGTGATGAGCGTGCAGTTGGTGACTTACGTAAGAAGGCCAAGGTAGGAAGGGCTTTCAGTGGCGGTTTTAGTGAAAATTGAAGAGCAGAAAATCAGTGACAACAATAACAGGGTTCTCATATAGGGACACACCTGTCTTTACAATCCACAAAAAGACCATATTACAGATAGGGTAATAGGGGACCATCATCTTCTCTATATCGTATTCTGGACAGATATATGCCACTACTCCAGTCTGCCAGACCTGTGGTAGATCACATTTGGACCAATATCGTGTTCTAAGGGGAGAGTGCTTTCGGTGTGGCCAGTTGGGACATCACTTGAGGGATTGTCCTCAGCCTCCGCAAAATTTTAACCAAGCTTCTATTCAGTCAGCTACACCTACTCAGACTACTCGTAATACTTCAGGTGCTACAGGTACAGGAAATAGAGGTCGAGGTGCTAGAGACCGTGCTACGGTGAATCAAGGACAAGGGAATACTGGTAAAGTTCAGGCGAGAGTTTTTGCATTTACTAGATAGGATGCTCATGCCTCGAATGTTGTGGTCACAGGTGTTCTTTCTGTCTGTTAATTTGATGCACTTGCATTGAATGATCCGGGATCTACTCACTCCTATGTGTCCTCGTACTTTGCTTTGAGGTTTGGTAGACAACCTGAGCTATTGAATGATCCTTTTCTAGTTACTACTCCTGTTGGAGAGTCTCTATTAGCTGAATATGTGTATCGTGCTTGTCAGATTCGTGTTGAGGGTAGAAATACTTTAGCTGACCTTATTGTACTTGATATGATTGACTTTGACAGGCTGATGGGAACGGATTGGTTATCTTCTTGCTATGATATAGTCGATTGTCATGCAAAGGTAGTTAAGTTTGAGATACCAAATGAACCCAGTTTTATTCTAAGAGGGAGTCAGGTTGTAGAGATTAGCAAAGTTGTATCTTTTATGAAAGCTCAACAACTTCTGAAGAAAGGTTGCTTGGGTCTCTTAGCTATTGTAAATGACACAAGAAAGGAAACAGTTAGTATAGAAAATGTACCATTAGTGAGAGAATTTTCTGATGTAGTTCTTGAGGATTTACTAGGATTGCCTCCAATATGAGAAATAGATTTTGGTATTGATTTGCCACCTAACAGACGGCCCATATCAATACTCCCATATCGAATGGCACCAGCAGAGTTGAGGGAGCTAAAGCAACAGTTGCAGGATTTATTGGATAAGGGTTTTATCAGAGCTAGTGTATCACCATGGGATGCACCAGTACTGTTCGTAAACAAGAAAACGGATCCCTGAGAATGTGCATGTCACGACCCGGATTCCCCCCCCCCCCCCATCGGGAGTCGTGATGGCGCCTACTGTTGGAGCTAGGCAAGCCAAACATTTAAACATCTTCGGATAACAACACATCAATAATAAAATAACGAGTCTCTAAATAAATGCGAAAGTCTTTTAAAACATAAATAACTGAAAACCCAAAATGCGGAAGTTTAACATTTCTCTACCCAAGGCTGGAGTCGCTGTCTCACGAACCACTAAAGAGTGCTACAAACAAGTCTGAATAGGAAAACACATAATGTCTGTCTCGGTACAATGAAAACAAACAGAAAATATGGAAAGGGACTTCGGCCTGCGAACGCCACCTAGGCTACCTCGTAAGTCCCTGGACTGAAGAGGGCTCCCGATCAACTACTGATGTGGTCCAAGAGCTGCTCTGGTACCGAAATCTGTGCAAAAAGCACAGAAGTGTAGCATCAGCACAACCGACCCCATGTGCTGGTAAGTGCCTGGCCTAACCCTGGCAAAGTAGTGACGAGGCTAGACAGGACTACCAAGTCAACCTGTGCAGTTCAATATATATATATATATGCAATAAAGGAAAGAATACCGAAAATTAAACAGTTAACTAGGGAGGGAAGCATGCTATGGGGGAGTACGAACCGGATATAAAGTCATCAACTTAAGTAAGAAACAGGGCAATAACAAAAATTAACAAAACAGGAGAATCAACAGTTGCACGGCATCAACCTTCGTGCTGTTACTCTCATTCTCACCAAAAACAATCAAATAGAATCCACGGCATCACCCTTCGTGCTTTTCCTAACATAACTCTCATTTCATGGCACAGAATGATCCCTCGTGCAATTATAGTCAAATCAGAGCACGGAATGTCCCTTTGTGCATAAATAATCAAAACATGGCACAGAATGACCCTTTGTGCAAATATAATCAAAACATGGCACAGAATGACCCTTCGTGCAAATATAATCAAACATAGCATGGAATGACCCTTCGTGCAAATATAATCAAACATGGCACGGAATGACCCTTCGTGCATTATCACTCTTCCTCACCCAACCAACAATCACAACCAAACGGGCGAAGGAATAAGCAAATAATAAGAAATGTCCCGGCAAGGGAAAACACAATTAAACAGCTAGATCCCGACAAGGGAGTAACAACAACAACTTTCACATCCCGGCAAGGGAGGTAATCAATGTCTCTTTCCATTTCTTTCATTTCTTACTCAATAGTATTTTTATTGTTCGAGCCAACTCTCCAAAGAATATACAAACTCATAACCAATCCTCAAACTCTTCACATTATGTAGAATTCATCAATTAGCATAGAAGAGTCTCAAAAATATCAGAAATACGTGCAAACAAGGACCCACGGTCATGCTAGACACCGGTGTATAGATACTCGTCACCATGCCTATACACCGTACTCGATCATTTAGCCATTAGCAATTAATAACACTCTAATCCTATTCCCTCAAGCCAAAGTTAGATCAAACACTTACCTCGGTCCAAAGAATAGCAATCAATCCTCAAATACCGCCTTTCCTCCACAATCCGACTCCGAAACAATGATATCTAGGCATAATTAATTCAATAGTATCAATAAGGACTCACTGGCAACATCCCATAGCCTAGATATGAATTTCCTAACATCCTTCCAAAAATACCAAAAATCGACCCCGGGCCCGCTTGGTCAAAACACGAGGTTCGAACCAATTCCATGTCACCCATTCCCCCACGAGCCCGGATATACAATTTGTTTTCAAATTCGACCCCAAAACGAGGTCTAAATCAAAGAAAATTGAAAAGCCCTAATTCTACCCTTTTCCCCAATTCTTACCATGAACTACATGATTTAGGTCTAGGAATTGATAAATGATGATAGAAAATGAAGAAAACGAGTTAGATAATACTTACCCAAGAAGCTTTGGTGAATAAAAGCTCTAAAGATCGCCTATGGGCTGTGGAGAAGATGAGTTCGTATGAAATATGGACTAAATCCTGAAGCTACTGTTTCTGTAATTTTAACAAAATCACTGGGCGTTTTTTACCTTCGCGTTCGCGACAGGGGTGTCGCGTTCGCGAAGAAAGAGGACTGGGAACATCGCGTTCGTGGAAGACTTATCGCGAACGCGTAGAAGGGGAAAGGTTGGGTCTAGGACTTGTACTATGCGAACGCGAGATGGGGTACGCGAACGCGATGAAGAAGAGGTTGTTACTACAAGAACGCGAGGACTAGTCCGCGAACGCGATGAAGGAATTACTGGGGGTCCTGAGTTGGCTTACGCGATCGCGTATGGGGTAACGTGAACGCGATGAAGGAAAGGCTAAGGCTATGCGAACGCGAGCTGAAAGACGCGATCGCGAACAAGGAAAGCACTGTGTAAAAATTGCAGAAAATCTGCTGCCTTTCCTAAGTTCAAAAATACCCCGAACACCTCCGAAAATACTCCCGAACCCTCGGGGCTCCCAACCAATCACACACACTAACTCAACAACATCCTACGAACTTACTCGAGCGATCAAATCGCCAAAACAACATCAAAATCAATGAATCAAACCTCAAAATCATCATTTTTCATTCTAACTTCACAAACTTCAAACTTTAGATATTTAGGTCCGAAACACGCCAAATGACGTCCGTTTTCGACAAAACTTTACAGAAAGCGCTTAACACATATTTAAGACTTGTACCGGGCGTCGGAACCAAAATACGAGCCCGATACCATAGTCTTTTAATCAATTTTTATTTCTATTTTCCTTAATAATTTCAGAAAAACAATTTCACAGAAAAATTCTTTTACTCGGGTTCTAGACCTCGGATTTCGACTCCGGGCACATGCCCGAGTCCCATATTTTTTTACGTACCCTCCGGGACCGTCGAATCACGGGTCCGGGTCTGTTTACCAAAAATGTTGACCGAATTCAACTTTAATCATTTTAAAGCCACATTTTGAAATTTTTCACAGAATTTAACATATAATCTTTCCGGCTACGCGCCCGGACTGTGCACGCAAATCGAGGCAACTAAAGGTGAGGTTTTCAAGGCCTCGGAAGCATGGAAAAAGAGAGAAATCCGGTGATGACCCTTTGGGTCGTCACAGTGCATTGACTACAGGTAGTTAAACAAGATAACAATACGCAATAAATATCCTTTGCCTCGTATAGACGACATGTTCGATCAGTTATAAGGAGCTGCCCACTTTTCAAAGATTGACCTCCGTTCTGGTTATCATCAGCTTAGAATCAAAGATAAAGATATTTCTAAGACTGCTTTCAGAACTCGATACGGGCACTATGAGTTTCTTGTGATGCCTTTCGGAATGACTAATGCTCCAGCTGCATTCATGGATTTAATGAATAGGGTGTTCAATCCATTTCTGGATAGATTTGTAATAGTATTTATTAATGATATCCTGATATATTCTTGTAGCCTAGGAGAACACGAGGATCATCTCAGGACTGTGATGCCGACATTGCGAGAACATCGGCTTTATGCTAAGTTCTCGAAGTGTGAATTCTGGCTAGACTCGGTAGCATTTCCGGGGCATGTTGTATCCAAAGATGGAGTTATGGTAGATCCTAAGAAGACAAAAGTTGTGCAGAAATGGCCCAGGCCTACTTCTCCTACAGAGATTCGCAGCTTTTTAGGCTTAGCAGGCTATTACAGGCGTTTTGTGCAGGATTTCTCCAGAATAGCAGTGCCACTGACCAAGCTAACACAGAAAAATGCAAGGTTTCAGTGGACGGAGGAATGTGAGCAGAGCTTTCAAAAACTTAATACATGTTTGGCAATTGCACCAATATTAGCCTTACCATCAGGTTCCGGAGAATTTACGATGTTTTGTGATGCATCGAGGGTGGGATTAGGATGTGTCCTCATGCAAAATGATCGCGTTATAGCTTACGCTTTGAGACAATTGAAAAAGCACGAGCAAAACTATCCTACACATGATTTGGAGATGGCTGCAGTGGTATTTGCTATAAAAATTTGGAGGCATTACCTATACGGTGAAACTTGTGAGATTTATACTGACCATAAAAGTAGAAATTTGTCTTTCATCAGAGAGATCTAAATCTTTGGCAGCGTCGGTGGATGGAATTACTAAAGGACTATGACTGTTTTATTTTGTATCGTCTTGGAAAAGCCAATGTGGTGGCTGATGCATTGAGTAGAAAATCTATGGGGAGTTTGGCACATATAGCTCCAACAAAGAGACTTTGGGCGAATGATATTCAGAGACTAGAAGGTGCGGATATCAGATTTAGTGTCAGAGATTCAGAGGCATTGTTGGCTTGTGCTCACGCAAAATCTTCATTAGTTTAGCGCATTAAGGCCACCCAATATGAGGATGAGCGATTTTGCAAATATAGAGATGAGGCCTTAGCTGGTAAAAGAAAGGATATGATTGTTGACAGTGATGGTATTCTTCGAATGGGTGACAGGCTATGTGTCGCGGTCATAGATGGGTTGAGGCATGTTATTCTTAAAAAAGCTCACAACTCTAGATACACTATACATCCTGGATCCACAAAAATATGTCATAACCTAAAGCAATTTTATTGGTGGGAAGGTATGAAGAAAGATGTTGCTAACTTTGTTCCTAATTGTTTGACTTGTCAGCAGGTCAAGGCTGAGCATCAGCGACCCGCAGGACTACTACAACAAAATGAGATTCCAGAATTGAAATGGGAAAGAATTACTATGGATTTTGTCACCGGGCTACCACGAGCCCTTAGAGGTTATGACTCTGTATGGGTGATTGTAGATCGATTGACAAAATCAACACACTTTTTACCAGTGAAGACAACATATAGTGGAGTAAGATATGCACAGATATTTATGAACGAAATTCTCCGACTTCACGGAGTTCCAATATCCATCATCTCTGATAGAGGATCACAATTTACCTCACGATTTTGGAAATCTTTTCAAGAAGCATTGGTTACACGAGTAGATCTTAGTATTGCATCTCATCCACAGATAGACGGGCAGTCAGAACGTACTATACAAATCTTGGAGGATATGTTGACAGCTTGTATTCTTGAGTTTGGAGGTAGTTGGGACGCTTATCTACCTTTTGCCAAATTTGCTTATAACAATAGCTTCCAGTCCAGTATTCAAGTGGCACCGTACGAAGCATTGTATGGTAGAAGATGTCGTTCTCCTATCGGATGGTTTGAAGCTAGTGAGACTAACTTATTGGGACCCGACTTGGTACAAGAAGCCATTGACAAAGTTCAATTAATCAGGCGGACATTGCTCACAGCTCAAAACAGACAAAAGTCTTATGCAGATAAGAGAAGAAGAGATTTAGTGTTCACAATTGAGGACAAAGTGTTCCTACGGGTCTCCCCTATGAAAGGTGTGATGCGATTTGGGAAAAGAGGCAAGTTGAGCCCCAGGTTTATAGGACCGTATGAGATACTAGATCGAGTGGGAGCTGTGGCTTATCGTTTTGCATTTCCTCCTGAGTCGTCCTTTATTTATCCAGTGTTTCATGTCTCAATGCTAGGGAAATGAATATCAGACACATCTCAGGTGCTTGAAGCACCTGCTATACCGCTTGATGAGAAGTTGTCTTACGAGGATGAACCGATGGCTATTGTTGATAGGCAAGTAAGAAAGCTACGATCAAAAGAGATTGAGTTCGTAAAAGTCTTACGGCGAAATCATATAGTTGAAGAAGCTACTTGGGAAATAGAAGATGTTATGCGAGTCAAGTACCTCCATTTGTTTCAGTCTACAGGTACGTACTTGAGTTAAATTCGGGGACCGAATTTCATAAGGTGGGAAGGATGTAATACCCCCACTATTTTAAATGAGGACATATGGGATATTTAATAAATAATTTAAGTTTAAAGAAAAAAAAAGAACTAACTAAATAAACAAAACAAAAGAGAACAAAAAGGAAGAAAATGTCAAACAAAGCTAACAAATTAAACCAAAAAGAGTTAATGGGCCAAATAACGTGAAAGGCTTCAGGCTGAGTCAAAGCAAAAGAATAAAGGGTTGAAGTCGCTTTCTCTAGCAAAATCAAAAAGAAAGAAAGGCATTTGGGTTTGCTGCGTAAAAAACCAAACCAGAAGCAAAAAGGGATTTTGACGGGTCAAGGGTTAAGGCAAAAATGAAAAATACATAAGGTGAGTTGGGGGAAAAAGCTTGGTGCCGCAAAAGAAGCCACTTCCAGCCATTATTTGTTCAAATCTTAAGGTACTGCATTCCATAAATTTGAGAATATATTTTAATGGTTAGAGTTAAATAAGGAGATTGGCAAAAGTGAGTGAAACAAGGAAAGATATGTATAATTTTTGTTAATCTTTAGCAATCTATTGAGGAATCTTAAGCACTAATTGTGTCTTACGGGTATTACTTGAACTTCTTCTTCTGGTAAATTATAATTTCGTTTCCAATGATCGAAAGGTTCTACAGAGTAATATAAATTACACTAGTTCATTCACGTAATTGAGAATTTTCCTCCTAAAGAATCCATAGAACTTTACGAAATTGGGTTAACAAAATCATATGTATAGGTTGTAGTTGATAGATTAGTAATTACTCATCCCGTGGGTAAATATAATTCGGCGAATTAGGAGTCAAATATGAAACCTCGAGGGTTGAACATTCTAAATTAGCTATGAATTAGCCTAAACATGAAAATTAACATGAGATCGATATTATGTAATTATAGATTGATTGGAGGAAGTTGTACGAATTGCTCGAGGTGAAGCATTTGGTATTTCGACACAAGTGCTGTGAGCAGTAATCTTACCACAATTTGTGTTTTCATAACTTGCATGATTTATACATAATTTTTTATATGAATATGTTACCGATTATTTTGAGTTGCATGTGGGACAAGTCTTTTACTCGATATAATACTGAAATAATTATTTGAGATGATTACCGTTGTTTTAAATATTCTGTTGTCACTAGATCTGTTTTACCGTTACTTGAATTTACTGTTATCGAAATGAAATTATATGATTTGATCAGAACTGAAATGCCCTATATTGTTTTAAAATATTTTCTACGAGTATATACGGATTACAGAGACAAGTATAAATGGGAGTAGACATTGAAGGATCCCGTAGCTAACGGCGGGTTCGTTAGACCTGCTACACCTTGCAATTACCGATTACCATTACAGCCCTCGCTAGTGGAAAAGTAGAACTAGCATACCGTTACTGATTTTCCTCGAGTAGGGACTACCGTCATATTTGACTTCTTGCGAAGAAGTCCACAGTTACCGATTACATGATTCGTTCATTGAAACCTCCCAAATGTGAATATTGATATTATACAGTGATTACCGAGCTTATTACTGAATTGTCAATTGTATTATACCACAAGAAAAACATGATGAGACTGAAAATTAATTATTGTTTCTGAAAGTGCATTCTTATGATATTTTCTGTTTAATATACTAGAATGTTTCTGATTTGTCCCCAATAAAAATGGTTGTCGTTTAATGTTATTACTCACAAGCTAGCGACTTACTCCCCGCTAATTTTTTTTTACAGAGACAGCAGTTGACGCAAGCGAGGATTTCATTAATTAGAGCGTACAGGTCGATAGTTCTTGGTGAGCCTCGCACTTGTTCGCGTGGGCGGAGATTTTATTTAATGTTATGGTCTTTTTTTTTTGAACTCTTAGAGTCGCTCCATAGTCATCCTTTTAGTGTCGTGAGTATTCATTTATTGATATGGACTAGTTACTAGTATTATACTTTCTTTCTGTATTTTTATAGTTGGTTTTGGTTTTATTATGTTGAGGAGGTTAGTAATAATGGTGGAAACATGTTTGTGGTTAGTTGATGAAGATTGTGACTGATTTAGGTGAATATTGGTTGGTTGTTACTTGTTTTTGAGACATGAAACTTTTTGGAAAGCCCAAAAACGGAAAATTCTGTCCGATTTTCTGTAAAATACCTATGAGGCTTACTTGAGGGAACTTGCTCCTAAGTACCGATCATGATCCTAAATTGGGTCGTGACACATTTGTAACTTAGAAACCTACAAAACATGGTAAACGACATGCTGCAGCAATAAAACTATATTGATACTGTGAAATTTCTTTACATTTATATAAACTAATAACATCTTAGGTTATATATTTAGGTTAACTTGCAGTAACATGTTTGATTACATATATTAGAATATTGACTTGTAAATATTTTATAACTGACCTGATTGTTTTAATACCTTTTATTCTCATCACTATCATGGCATAGAATTACTTAAATTCATCTTCAATTAATGAGCCCAAAAGCAATTAGTTAGATCCGAATTAAAGCTTGATAAATATTCCCCTTCGTTCACTTTTAGTTGTCCACTTTTGATTTTGCACTCCCTTAACAATGATAGCATTTCAAAAAGTCTTGGGGAATGAGTAGCTAATTATAAGGGTAAAACAAGGAAAAATTTGACTTTTTTTATTTAGTATAATGGACAAGTAAAATTGAAAATATATTTGTAGTATAATGAATAAGTAAAAGTGACCGGATAAAGTAGAATTATAGCATGACAGTCTGGAGTAATGGAAGTATAATTTCAACATGTTAAAGTGAGAAGATAATTAAAGAACAAAAGGAGAATGCGAAACGAACTCATAAATAGTAGTTGTATTTCTTGAACCATAATCAATGAGGCAAGCTGCCCACCTAAAAGTTGAAACTAGACTTGCGTGAACAAGAATGATTCTTCTTTACTAACCACAATCAATTAATTATGCCAGCATCCCATTTTTCACTCACCAAATATTGACATATAGTCTATGTCTCCATAGAGGCGGAGCTAGATCATTAGGTATGGTTACGGAAGAAATCAGTAATTTTCATATTAAAAAATTCACTAAATATATATAAATATTTAATTGTATACCCAATAGCTAATTAAGACGAGCTATGGGTTCGATAGCAAATTTAAAACATATAAACTTCAAATTCTGACTCCGTCTACTATACGCTTCTATGTCTTGGCAAGGGCAACTTTCACAGGGTAACGTTGAATGCAGTCAGCCCAAGGGTTACCATTTCGATTGACATCATTACAATCAATTTCTCTTAGAGATTTCCACACGGCACTGTTACATTTGAAACCAGAACCAAATGCAATTTGCCAAACTCTATCCCCTTTGCTAACTCTTCCTTTTGCTTCTGAATAGGCTAACTCATACCATAATGAGCTGCTTGAAGTGTTTCCAAACCTGTGTAGTGTCATTCTTGATGGTTCCATGTGCCAATCACTTAGGTTTAGGTTGTTTTGTATTTCATCTAAAACTGCTCTCCCTCCTGCGTGTATGCAGAAATGCTCAAATGCGAGCTTGAAATCTGGTATGTAGGGCTTCACTTTTGCTTTTAGCATCTTCCTCTTGACCAATGTTACGAAGAACCTAAATTAGATGCGAACCCAAAATTTAAAGTCAGTAGATTCAGAATAAATATGAACTTGTTATGTGTATATATCTTAAATAAAAAGGTCCAAGTTTACAGTTACACTATACGAAAATTTTAATTTTACCATCTATTATACTTCGAACCCTAGTAATCTTACTGTTAACAAATCATCTCGTATTTGTCTGACTTTAAAGGAGCTCCAACGTAACCTAGGTGGATTTTATGGAAAAAGTTTAAATTTATTCCTCTACTTTTTACTATAATTTCAAATTACCCTCCGTATATTTTAAGTTGGAGCTCGTTAGGGTTAAAGGCAAGGCTAGTGGTTCCTCGAGTTTGGGAGACTAGGAATTCTCCCTAAAGTGATCATATTCATTAAGCCATAGATAATATGGATATCCATAATATCCGTTGGTTAACCCATTTTTTATCCGTATGAAATATGGGTCGGGTCGGATAATTTATCCATTTTTGTATTACGTGTTTTCGACTCGTCCCACATCCGATCCGACCCACCCGTTTGTCACCCCTAGGCAAGGGATATGAATGACTTTAAAGTATAACAGATAATAAAAAAAAAAAAAAAAAACTATACATCATTCTAGTTGAAAGCAATGAGTTCAATTCTGACCTGAATTGCTCCGAAAGCGGTAACACCAATGGGCCTAACGTAGTGATGTTTGTTTTTAGAGCATCCCCAGCTACTGCCATAAGTTCACGAGCCAATGACACACCTATCACTCCCTTGTCATCTTCTCTTTGGTACACACAATTATAGCTATTGTCATCAGCTCCTTTATGGGTTCGAACCGTGTGGACCAGCTCGTACTTAGACCGGGTTCGGTCTTTTGACTTGTTAGACAAAAGCATAGCTGCTCCTCCCATACGAAATATACAATTGCATAGCAACATTGACCTATCATTTCCAAAGTACCAATTTAATGTAATGTTCTCCATGCTAACAACAACTGCGTATGTGTTTGGATTTGCTTTTAATAGATGTTTGACTAAGTCAATTGAAATTAGGCCAGCACTACAGCCCATGCCACCTAAGTTGTAACTCTTGATATCAGTTTTGAGCTTGTAATGGTTGACAATCATTGAGGAGAGAGATGGTGTTGGATTAAACAAGCTACAATTCACTATAAGAATTCCAATTTCCTCTGGCTTGACTTTGGTTTTGGCAAAAAGTTGGTCCAATGCACCAAACATAACTGCCTCGGCCTCCGCTCGTGCCTCTTTCATGCACAGGTTTGGTGGGTTGGATGTGATCCCTCTAGGAAAATAAGTCTCGTCACCTAAACCAGAACGTTCAGATATTCTTTTTTGAAATACTATAGTCTCGTCAGTAAATGCACCGTTCTCTTCCGTCATCTTCAAGAACGAATCCACGGACATTTTTCGTTCATCTTCAGGTTTGTAACAAGCAAAATCAACCAAATAAACCGGTCTAGGTTTCTTGACATAGTAAATACCTAAAAAGAAAAAGAGCACTATTGAACCGGCAAGACCGATCGAAGTGTCAACAAGTAAAGTTGGACTTGTCCATATATCAGAAAACCGGTCTAACTTTAGACCGGTGAGCTGAAAAAGAGTGAGGGTAACCATAGGCAAAACGGTAACGAGGAGAAGAAGAGTGGCAGGGTTGCATGAATAACCATACCCTAGCTTAACATATTTAAGCTTTACAGATTGTAAAAAATCCGGCAATTTTCGCCGGATTTTTATAACAACTGAGGATGAATCTTTGAAATCCATCTCTGCTGTTAGCCTCTCTTTTTCCATTTCTATACTTTCATTTGCCATTTTTGTAGTAAGCTTCTTAAAAAAAACAAATAGTTCAAGATTGAAGTAGAAGAAGAAGTCTACAAGAAGCTGAACTAATTAAACCTCCAAGAAGAAAAATAATTGTATGGAGTTGTCTTAATCAAAGGCAAATAAAGGGAAGACGTTTTATGTAGTAAGTTTTGGAGGGTAGGAAAGAAAACAAAAGGGAGCTAAGCTTCTTAAAGAAATAAAGGGAAGAAGGAATGAGTAAGAAAGAATAGGAAATACCTACATATATAATGGATACAAGAAAGATAGATATAATATGTTATTCAGATAGTGTGGTGTTTGTATGTAATCCAGTTTTCATAATAAGGGGTGGGGTTAGGCATGAGTTGTTCCAAGTAAGGATAGATAGCTCAACTACCAAAAAGAAAGAGAATTAATAGAAATTATTGCCAAAAAAAGCTCCAAGTTTCTCACTAGCCAAAACTAATAATGGGGTATAGTAGTAATGTTGTGGAACACGGGCTTAATTATGGATTCACATGAACTCAATATCTTGTGTCCAGATTCTGTATTTATATTTTGAAATTCACTAAATATTTATAAGTATTTGCTTGTGAATTTAATTATTATTGTAATATCAATTTGAGATCGCAGTAAGAACTCGTAAACTTCAAATTCTTGATCCGGATATGTTATAGAACCATGGGCGAAGCTACATAGCCCTAAGGGTGGTCAATTGACCACCCTTCGTCGAAAAATTACATTGTATATATAGGTAAAATATTGGATTTTAGAGGTATATAACATATATTGAACACCCTCTATCGGAATTCTTTTTTTACTTCTTTCAAGTTTGAACACCCTAAATAAAATTTCTGGCTTCGCCACTGTATATAACTATGATTATTTGTTGTTGAGAAAAGATGGGTAGTAATTGACCAAGAACAAAGTTAACATGTGGAAATTTGGGGTTTCGTCCAAGCAATCATATTAGGACATATTCAAAATGTTTACTTTCTCTGTTTCATACTAGCTAGCTACTATTTGCATTGCGTATTCCCCACATGCAACGAAGCAGCAAATTTTCATGACTCCGCCTCGTCCCCACTTCAGCTCCACAATATATGCATGAATTTAACGTTTACGTATATCCTATCACTCTATCAGATAATTTGTGTTATTATTTTAGTGTACTTAATTTTAATTTTTATGAATAATTATTTGTGATTATCATTTTCATAACCAAATAGTAATAAAAGTTTTTTTACACGGTTATTTTACAAAAGTTAAACTCTCTAAATCTTTATATTCCAACCACATCGAACACGTTCGACGTTTTACATGCGAACTACATTCAATTAAAGAAACATTTTAAATTATGTACATTAATAATATTTTTTTATATTATGAGGTAGTTTAACCTGTAATAGCATGTAACCTGAGGCGGAGCCAGGATTTCAAGCTTATGGGTTCAGGATTCTAATCGTTTTAAGTTATTGGATTCTAAATTATTTAATTTATACGTATTCAATGAATTTTTTAAGACAAATACAGGGTTTGAACCAAAGCTACTGGGTTCGGCCGTACCGCTGGCGGCACTCTAGCTCCGCCCCTGCATGTAACTTATATTTTTATCAAATAATAAGCCAATACTTTTTTAAAAAAATACCTATAATTACGTTATAAATAATCAAATTGTATAAATATTTTTTTACTATTTTTGAAAAAATAGAGAGAACAGAAGAGCCAAACCTGAAGAGGCCGGTGGATATAGGTGACTGACAATCAAGAAACTATTAAATGCTGAGAGTAGGTATGAATATAGATGCCAAACCTATCCAAGAAAACCCCCTCAAGTCCTTACAAATTTTAAACACAATTGCATTAGCAATGAGAATTGCTGCTACACCTGAAATATATATATATGTATGGCAGCCTGGTGCACTAAGCTCCGCTATGTGCGGGGTCCTGGGAAGGGCCAGACCACAGGGTCTATTATACGCAACCTTACCTTGCATTTCCGCAATTAAGAGGTTGTTTCTGCGACCTAAACCCGTGACCTCCTGATCACATGACAGCTATATATATATATATATATATATATATATATATATATATATATATATATATATATATATATATATATATATATATATATATATATATATATAT